CTTTTTTTTCATGGAGCTCGGTCATGAAGATAAGCAGCCACAAAAACACTTATTATTTGTCGTCTGTCAACTCAATTTACATTCACATATTTGATTCAAAATAACGATAGCATGGAAAGAAAGAAAATACCAGACAATTGAAATTCCTTAATACTAAATATAGAAAAGGCATGTTATAGTCAAATAAAGGTTTCTGTCAACTAAGTAATCGGAAAATGATTTTTACTATATCAGGTTAGCAACCCGTACTAGAGCCCTGAGCACTCGTAACTATCAAGATACTTTACAATGAGTGAAGTAATAGCATGTCGGCTATTTTTGCTTCGAGGGGCCTTGTGACATTATACTATAAAGGCCCGGATGCAGGATACAGTACTGTAAACTGTTTTGAGGATCTTCGGCCCCAGCAGTGGTCCGTTGCCAGACTGTTGCCATATTGTTTATTATGTATGCATATTTATTTTGTTCTTATATTTATTTTGTCACTCTTCTTGCTCGTAGTGTATCTTTTATTATTTTTCCTTGTTTCACTGTAAGATATTTATATGTACAACAGGCATTAGATTTTTATTCATCTTGAAATTAATAAATCTAAAGACATTTGGCACTTTTACCCCTGATATTCCAAGAAGACAAGAGTTTTCCTAGTATGTAAAGCAAAAACATCATGTGGTTTTCGGTTGACACTTTTCCTTATTTTGTCTTTCACTGTTTTAAATAATATTTAATTTGAAAGTTGTCTCATGTTATATTCATATTCGTAATACAAGTAACTTACTATGGGAGGATTAGTAGCGGTTTTTGCTAAACGAGGATAAATCAAACTCAGGGATCATACTTATATATTATTTGAGTATGTTTACATGTGATGTGGTATGACATGGAATGAAATTTATATAGATGTTTACATTATGTATAAAAAAAGAACACTAGCTCTTTCTTAACTTAATACAAATGTAGCAGGAAAGCATGACTTTTATATGTACAAACTTATGATTATGGTTACTTAATGCTGCACACGGATATCTGTGCAAGGAATTATAAACGATAAGCAGTTATTAATATAGGGCACACAAGAAAAGAAGCATGGCAATGTTTACTACTTTAAAATGCCTTCTGTAATTAATAGAGAAATGTCTTATCCACTTAACTATATAATCAGTTTATCACAGACAAGGGAATTCAATCCCCTTTTTCTCGAGTTCAGTTCGTAACATTTCCTCGTGTTGCCTCATCCTCTTCAGGTCCTCGAGCAAAGCGTTCCTCTCACTAACGGCATCATCGAGGTCCTTTTTCATCCTTTCGTAGTGAGACTTCTTCAAATCACGATTCTTCTTGGCGTTAATAGCATTGAGTCGCTTCTTCTCGGCATCCATGTCTGCGAAAGGTTCTTTCCTCTCGTAGGCTTTCGACTTCTTATTTCGGCGTCGTGACCTGGTACTGCTTAAGCTCGCAGAATTGGAGTTGGTAGACGGCGTAAGTGGCGAGGAGGCGGAGGATTTCCTGGCTAGCTGTGACCTCCTGCTTGGAGCAGCGCGTTTGCTCCCCTTTGCTGATCCTCCGGAAACCGCAGGAGTAACCTCCTGGGGATGTCCTCCTGGGATAACCCCGCTTTCTGAAGGAAGTGGCACTGGTTCACCGCAGTTTGAATTAGTGCGGTCCTGAACAATTTCATTAATTAACATATTAACCTGAGCCTCCTGAACCACGGGAAGACAGTCGGTTGATAAATCATCATCAAAAATACTTGGCACTGCAGACGCGAGTGAAGGAGGCTCACTAGAAGGGGGCAAGAGGTCTGTTAAAATGTAGTTGTCGTCGAGGGACTTCGTTTCAACCGGAGGATCCAAGCCAAGGTATCGCACGAAGTCAAGGCTGCCCAGCTCCCACACTGCCGATGGATCTTCCGTCGGTCTCACGAAGTTCATAGGATCTTGCAAAGTGTCGCCTTCCATTGGCACATAAGTCACTTGGTTCATAAGTGAGTCCCCTTCAAGTGTCATGAGTGTATGTTGCTGGGTGGGTACTTGCTCCTGCGCGAAAAAATATTTCTGGTCTTGTGTGGCGATCCCTATGTCAGTCACAAAAGTTGTTGGATTCGGGATTGAAATGTCTTCCATTATTATTACATTTTGGTCTGGAATCACTTGAAATGTCTCGTATGCCTGGGTAGTACCACCTTCAGACAATCCATTAGGCGCCTCCTTTGTGAAACTGGCACTGGTGTTTTCTGGCATATTGGCAGCCTGGATGATGCCACTATTATAGATAAAAAGTCACTTTTGCGCAGGTCACTCGATAAATCCTTCGTGTTCTTAGGAAGCAAGTGAGGTTAAGTACGGAGGAGAGCTCAGTGACGCTGCCTCTGTTCGACTAAGTTCGTCATGTGATGCAACTCTCGCGGCCTCTCCCTTGCTGACGTCAGAAGGATTTTATTGGCCAGTAACATGCGGCAACTGCAACTTGTGCATGGGCATGGCGCGTACCGCCAACCCCTCCT